ATCTTTCTGTCGATAATTGTCAAGCGAGTGAAAAGGAATAGTTGCTCGGAGATATAAAAACGTATAAATGTAGGAAGAAAAGGAGCTTATAAAATGTGATAGAAGCCTTGCCTCGGCGTCAGTCTCTCGATTAAACGCGCACGGCCTCAAGCAATCAGGCACGCAACGGCGCGGCGGCGTCTATAAGGCTGCATCGTGTCAGGCAATCTGCTCGACGTCGCGCCGCTGGCGTCGTCGCCAACGTGGCGTCTCTAACGTCAGGAAACTGACGAAAAAGAAAACAAAGAAGAAGAACAGCACGGATACCGTGCAACGAGAAGTGGAATTGCAAAATGCAATGTGAAAGGAATCAACTAACGCAAAGTATTTGAAATGATATTGAAAAGCGACAAGAAAAAGATATTAAAAAAAATGAAAATGAAACTATTTAATAGGAATTTTTAAAAAAAAAATAAGGATAAAAATATAATACGAGAAATAAAATAAGTTTCTTCGTGTTTATGACGCTTTTAAAAGCCTTTTTTCCTTTATTTCTTTATTTCTTTAAAAGAACAGCAATTCGATCGATCCGCCACTAACAGAAATTTCTCATTTATGTAAGAATGAAGCCTGACATATTGAAGACTTGCAGATATTGAAACTGGAATCTCTATTAAATAAATTTTAATATCATTTTGATCGTTGTCGCAGAATATTATTAAATATAATTTAATTTAGAAATAAAGCATAAATCTCGTTTGTTCGACTGGGACGGAAGAAAGTGAAAAGCGGAAGGAGGAAGAAGAAACGCGAGAAAAACGTTCGCAGGCAGGTGATTGTAAAACTAGTGTGAAACGAGATAGAGAAGTAGAATGATTGTAAAGATAAAAGGAAAGAATCGAGTAGGAAGATGACGGCGAATCGAAGGAAAAGGAAGCAAGATGAGATAAAGAAGATAGAAAGAGAGGAAGAGTGAGTTCGGGATGCGGGAAGGGGCGAATATACGGAAGAGTCGAGAGGGTTGGAAAGGGAAGCAAGTTTATGAAGAGGGAAGGGAGCAAGGGGAATGTTGCAGACGCGCCTCGACAAGGGTAAATGTACATACGAATGTACCCCGGATTGGCTTTGGGGTGGTTTCCATGGAGACCAATTCGCTCGGCCCGGGGAATTCACCGCCGCCGCCGCCGTCGCCGTCGCTACCGCGGCCGCAACTTTCCTGGAAAACTGTATTGCGTCCAAACTCCAAAAAGTTCGAACCATTCGATTCACATGTATTTGCTTTGATTTCACCATCTCCTATCCCATTTTCTCTCTATCCTCCCATCTCACTATCATCTGATCCTATACACGTTAACTTAAATGTTTGACGAGATAGCTCGCTAAACCGAAGAAAACAATCATGTAGAAATTAACTATGGTCTCTTAATAAAATATTCTAGTTTAAATAATTTCTATATTTTTGCATCTTGAAATCTTGTATAAAGATCAGTTTATCGTTGCTCGGGAAACCAACTTTGTTCATTTGTTATTTATTCTGTGAACAATATATAGACGAATATGAAAGTTGAATATTGAAAGTTATTTAATGGAATTTCAGATACTATGAATCATAGGGAATGAGAGTGAGAAATCAAATTTTCTTCTCTCGTGCAATCTTCCAAAGACCTTGAATTATGTATGCATGAGGAAAAGTGTATGAGATCGCCGTTTGTATTCTGACGAAGGAGTCGCATCTTATGAAAAAATTAATTGAAATGTTTATGATGACAATTTACATGCAAATTTACTTTTATGCAGTTATTTCTACTTAACATGCTGCTTTAAATTTTGACAATATTTATGGAATGCTTTTATAAAGTGTAATTGTTTTGTTTTGAATTCATTTAAATCAAACACCCGTTAACCAAATTTAAACCAAAATTTATTATATCATGTAATTGAAACGATTATGCATACATAATTAGAAACTATTCATCGAAAGAAATTACCCTAAACAAAAATTTTTACAAGTTATTGGCCTTTTGATACCATTCATGTTAGACAAAAAATATTTTTTTGCATCATCACAATTCGAAAAGACATTTAGATAGTCTTACTTAAATGGATCATCCTGTATATATATTGATCACATGTAAGAAAATTGGAATGTTAATATAAAAATTTAATTACATTCAGGAATTTGAACGATATTTAGCACATTTAATAATGAATTTAATAATTTTTCAAAATTATAAAAGAATTAGATACATAAGATACACTGTATAAAAATATTAGAGCTGTATAATAAAATAAATAAATATCTAGAATTCAATTAAGTAATATTGGAATGATCATTTTTATAAAGATTTTGATGATTATAAAGTTTCAATCAAAATAAATTTCTTATCGTCTGCAAAAATATTTTTTTATCCAACCTTTTATTTGTAATTTAGGTTCAACATCTAATATTAAAATTAAAAACATTTATAATTAAGGATTAATTGACAGCTTATAATGGTAGAAATTAAAAACAGCAATATTACTACAATTAAATTAGAAAAAAAAAACAATAAATGATATTTTCATATAAATTTACATTTTGTTTCTTTTATATAATATACTTTAATCATTAATATATATATATTAAATGTAATAAATGTAAATAACAGGTATTTTAAAATACTGTTCTATGAAAATATTTTAAAATAATAGAACAGTATTTAATTTGTCTATAATATTACAAAATTACAGTATAAAATAAAATATATAGTCAAAACCTTAATTGAATTATATATGAAAAAATAATACTCGATATTTTCCTAATTAGTGCATAAAAAGTATTTATAAAATATAAAACACAATTTTAGAAGATAAATACATAAAATAATTACTATCACATTAAACTAACTTAAATTATATTAAAAAGGTGTGGTAATGTATATATTTATAATTTTATATATATATATA